AGTGCCGGCTTCTCGTTTCTTCTGTTAGCGACCATCCTTTGTATGTAAAGGCAAAGCTCCAAATGTACCTTATCCCTCATCTCAAACTGGATGACCTTCCTATGCCCATCTGCCTGCTTCTTCATGATCTGTCGGGCCATCAACATTTGCTCTTTTAATTCCTCTAGCATTCTATCACTCTCCTCCAAGTACTATCCCGCTGAAGAAATTGGTGTGCTACTCCACCCAAAATACACTAGGTGGGGTGGATCTCTTATGTACAACACCTTAAAATGAGTCATCTAGGAAGCCAAATGATATGAAGTGTTGTACCGGTACTCTTTCCATGATAGCCACTTGGCCCACAAATGAGGTGTCTCTGAAGCAAAACATCCTAGGTAAGTCTCCAAGCTTTTATTAACCACCTATGTCGGCCCATTTGTCTGAGGGTGGTAAGCAGTGCTCCTATTTAGTACTGTCCCCTATATCCTGAAGAACTCCCTCCAAAAGTGACTTAGGAACACCTTATCTTGGTCGGACGCTATAGTCTCCGGTATCCCATTCAGTTTTTCTACCTTTCTGGTGAATGTTGCTGCCATTGTCAGTGCCGTGTAGGGATGTCGTAGGGGAATGAAGTGATCATAATTGCTCAACCTGTCAACTACCACTATAATCGTTGTAAATCCCTCAAATTGGGGTAACCAATCTATAAAGTTCATGTTAACCTCCTCCCACACCCTGTCTAGTAGAGCTAGGGGTTGAAGTAACTCTCATGGATCCATGACTATGTATTTGTTCCGTTGGCTTACCTCCCATCTAGCCACCATTTCTTTGACATCTTTCTGCAACCCTTCCAATACAACTCTATTGCCAATCTCATGCATGTCTTTTGCACATCAGAATAACCCCCCACAATGATCCCATGGAACTCTTGTAGCAAATGTGGAGTATGGACTGAGGTCCAAGGCAACAAAAACCTCTGCTGGTACAGTAGTCTCTCCCCCTATAGGGAATAAACATGGTGGCTATTCTCATCCTTCAATAGATCTGCTATGATCCTTCCATCTCCTCATCCTATACACTCTCTCCTCTTTAATAGCCCCCTAATCCAGCATCATTGGTATCGTCATGGCTAACTCTTGGAGCTCTCACTTGCATTTGGACAAGGCATCAACTACATTGTTCTCTAACCCTCACCTATATTGGATTTCAAAGTCATGGTTCAACAGCTTCGACAATCACTTTTGATGTTCCTCGGTAACCATTCGTTGTTTTAACCTCTGTTTAAAATTGTGCAATAAGAGGCCACTTGCATTTGGACAAGGCATCAACTACATTGTTCTCTAACCCTCACCTATACTGGATTTCAAAGTCATGGTTCAACAGCTTCGACAATCACTTTTGATGTTCCTCGGTAACCATTCTTAAACCTTGATTTTAACAAGTACTTCCAGCTCCTCTGGTCTGTCCTGACGATAAAATTTTGACCTAATAAGTAAGGCCACCACTTCTGAATAGTTAATAAAATTGCCATCAAGTCACTCTTATAAACTGACTTCAACCTAGTTATAGTTGTTAACACCTAGTTGAAGTAAGCTATGGGCTTGTGATTTTGCATGATCACTTCCCCCAATCCATACCCTGATGCGTCAGTCTCTACCACAAAAAATTGGTTGAAATCTGGCAGGGCCAGGATTGTCGTGGTCATGGCCTTTTTTAATCTCTCAGAAGCCTGGGTAGCCGCCTCTCCTCACAATAAGCTATCCTTCTTTAGCTGCTCTGTCAATGGCCAGGCTATGGTGTTGTATCCCCTCACAAATCTCTTGTAATATCCAATCAATCCTAGGAAATCCCTCAGCTTATTCAGATTCCTAAGTAGAGGCCATTTTAGTATTGTCTCAATCTTGGCCGGATCAGCAATCACCCCGTCCTAAGATACTATGTGCCCTAAGTACTCCACACTAGCCTGTGCATAACAACACTTCTTCAAGTTTTCCCTAAGCTAGTACTCTCCTATAACACTTCTAAGATCACCCTTAAGTGCTCTAAATGCTCCTCGTATGATCTGCTGTACGCCAAGATGTCATCAAAGAAAACTAATACAAAAATCCTCAGGTATGGTCGGAACACCCTGTTCATGAGGGACTGAAATGTAGCAGGGGCGTTGGTGAGGCCAAAAGCCATCACTAGGAACTCATAGTGCTCCTCATTAGTCTTAAATGCGGTCTTCAGAACATCTTCTTCTCTCATCCTGAAATGATGGTAGCTAGATTTCAAGTCCATCTTTGTGAACACCACTGCTTCACATAGCTCATCTATCATCGGAATGAAAAATTTGTCTAGCAGAATCTCTTTGTTGAAGGCCCGGTAATCAACACAGAATCTCCAACTCTCACTATTCTTCTTAACAAGTAAGACTGGACTAAAACAAGGACTCACACTCGACCTGATGATCTCTACCTCCAACATCTCTCTTTTCAACTTCTTAATCTCATTATTTTGATTCTAAGGGTAGCGATATGGTCTGACACTAATCGGTGACACCTCCTTACTTAAGGTGATGGTGTACTCCTGCTCCCTTGGTGGTGGCAATCCCTTAGGTTGCTGAAAGACCTCACTAAACTGTTGTATAAGTGGCTATATTGAAGGAGTAATGTCTCCCTCGTCCTCTAATCTGATCCCCTCTAAGTTCTGCAGTTCCACTAAAAATTCTCCTCTCACCTTCTATATGGTCCTCACCATGGCTTTGAGTGACACCATGGCTTTGGATAACCTGCATCATCCCTGATCATCACCTTTCTTTCCTTTACCACTAGCTTCATCGTCAGTGCTCCTAATTAACCTTGGTATTCCCCAAGCTAGGTTTGTAGTTATTTCATCCCTAGGATGACATTTGTGCTCCCTAGCTCCAGAAGGAAGTCCTCCCTTACCTTGACCCCCTATATGGTCATAATCACTTCTCTGCACACTTCTCTTCTTGTCTTCACCTTCCTAGTGCCCATCATCACTCCATAACACCCTATATTCACCAATTTCACCTCCAATTGGTCTATGACTTGGTTGAATATGAAATTGATGGTAGCTCCACTGCTTATCAACACCATCATCTCCTTGTCTGCTATTTCTCTTTGCACTTTCATGGTGTGATTTGGAGTAAATCCCACCATTGAGCTCAAGGAGACATTCGCCATGTCTAGATGCAACTCTCCCTCCACCAATGCCTCCATTTCACCTCCCTCCTCAGCTTCCTCAACATCACAGACGGTTAGAACCTTAAGAGTTCGGTCCTAACACAAGTGCCACAGGGTAGACCTCTTATCACATCTGAAGCACAATCTCTTCGCCCTCTTCTCCTGCAGCTTCTTCTTGGTGAGTTTCTTGAAGTTTCCCCCTCCTATAGGCTTCTCCTTTGGGGTCTCTCTAGGAACACTTGGTGGTGGCCCCTTGGGTGCAAAAATGTGGTGGTCATCCTATACGAGTCTCCTGAATTGCTGTCTCTAGCCCCCCTCTCCAAGTGCTTCTAGTCCTCTACTAGTTGTGCTAACTCCATAGCCTTTACCAAATCATGAGGCCTCATCACCCTAACTGTTGTTCTTATCTCTGGTTTGAGCCCTTTAATAAAATTCCATTCCAGTATAGCCTCAAACAATCGGTCCAGTTGACTAGCTAGGTACGCAAACCTATCCTGGTACTCCACCATTGTTCCCTCCTGTGTCAAAGGAAAAATTGTTCATAGAAGTCTCCACTTATGCTAGTTCGAAAACCTTCAAGCAAGCAATCCTTAAACTCTCTCCAGCTCCGTATCATACATCTCATGTCTCTCCACTGCTATCACACTAATGCCTTCCTCTCCAAACACAGGTCAGCTACCGTCAATGTCTCATCCTTTGTCAACCTATTGACAAAAAAATACATCTCTACCTTATAAATACACTCATGTGCATCCTCTCCCTCAAAGATGGGCATCTTCAGCTTCCTTAACCTCGGATGTCCTCCGTTTCCTTTTATTCCTCCATAATTTCTCCTTTTCCAAGTAGGTGGTCCCTCCAAGTATCCTGATCATCCCTTCGATGCTCGTACTCAAACTCTTCTTCAAATTCCCCTGTCCTTCCTTCAAAATCAACACTTCTCGGGTCATAATCAGTCTCCCTTCTTTCAAAATTAGCACCCTTTGCTCATACCCGACATGTTCACGCTTCTCCCCGTACCTTCTACCTATCTCCTCCCTATAAATAAGCTCTCGAAGATGTCTTCTTTTTTCTCCTTCCAAGATCTCAACATCGTGATCATCCCTACGACTACCATAATTTGTATTTCCTTCTACTATCATTCTTGCCTCTGATGCCGCCGTTGGGTTATGAAGTTCCAACACCTTCTTCACCATCTCTTCTAGGTTGTAGAACTTATCTTCCGTTGAAGAAATTCTGTCATCCACCATCGCTTTGATTTGACTCATCTCTCCTTTAAGACTTTCTTCCAAAGCATCAACCTTTTTTGTTGCCATAGGTACTTGGGTCTTGGTCAACAATAAAAACAATAAATCTGCCCTTCAAACAACAAAAAACATCAGTTTGGAGGGGGGAAAAAAAAACACAGTAACAATCGGCAAGGATAGCCCTCCAATTCAGTCCCGGAGACCGCTCTGATACCAATTTGATAGGAAGTGTTTGTAAAACTAAATTAATACTTGACTGAAATTTAAAATCAGCAATCTCCAACACAAACCACAAGTAGAACAAGAGGAATAGCAAGGGAAATTTTGTAATAAGTGAATCTGTATTTTAAAGACTTTTGTGGGATTAGGAATTTTTTTTCCCAGCAGGACCGATAACTTCTCTTTATAGGCTAATTTTGTTATATAATGATGCGCTTTACAGATGATGGTCAAACATCCTTACTTACGGAGCACTGCTCTGCATATATTTTATCTAAATTGTGGCATTTATGTTAGCTTGACATCAGCTCTAAGCTTTTTTATGAGATCCCTAATTCTGTGACTGATGTATGCTGTCATGTTTAAGTCCTCCACAGAAGTTTTACCAATGGTATTGCATGCTCTAGAGTCTACTCATGCCGTTCTTGTAATTTTGACCCAACAAGATATGCCAAAGCAGCTATACAAAGAAGAGGTATGTTCCAACCATTCTGCTTGGGATGATTTTAGTTGATATAAATATGTAATGTTGGAGTTTTTCTTTATGTTAAATTAAATTGTGGAGCCAACTGTTATTTTACGATTAGCTAATGTAATTTGAGATACTACTATGAAATTGACCTAGTTTTAATTTCAGATCATTGAGCGGATTGTTGACTTTTCAAGATATCAAATCATGGAGGTTATGGCTGCTTACAACCCATTTTACCATACCCCTCATGAACAAAATGAAAATGCTGAATTTGACTGTGAGTTCAGCGAAATTAACTTGACTTCACTTTTTATCTTAAACCAGCTTGCTTAACAATTTACTGGTTGGTTTCCAACAGAACTACTGCGAAGTCTTTTAAAAGAAATAGAATGTCTATGAAATGTTGTAGTAGGTTATGTGGCTTTCGGTGTTTGCACAAGTAGCTTATCTCCACTAGAAATATTTATTATACATGCCTATATTTTTTGTCCATATTTTTTGGATAATCATTTTCATTAGTCATATCCCGCCAATTTTGGGTTGGTTTCACCACTTCATGAATCCCTATTAATTACATAAATTTATTGTACAGCTTTTTGCCATTTTAGCTTTGATTTTTTTCCTTTTATTTGCCTTTCCTCTCATATTAGTTATTTTTTCCTACTTCATTGGTAGTTTTTTTTTTGTTCTTCGTTGTACTTGTCTGAATCACTCAAGTTTTTTTTTTTTTCTGTAACCTTATGTTTAATGCTGAGATATACCATAAGACCAACAAGTTGATTCGATATCTCGCTATCAACCTCTTGGCCTAAAAAAATAATCTTTCTCGATAAAGTTTTGATTTGGACAAAATTGTATCCATGAGGATCCGTGCATACGGTTGGAAAGATTGCGAAAAAAAGAATCAATATGTTGATTCCAGTCCTATTTCTTTTTTCTTTTTTACATTATAGAATGGGAAGGGGAAGGAAGGCAAAACTCATGTAAAAAAGAAAAAAATAATTTTATGAACTTATTGGGTGCTATCCCATGCTCTTTATTATTTTCTTCTTATTGGTTTTAACATTCACTCATTATAACGTTCTCAATTTTGTGTCACTCACTTTAGTTGTTGGTTGCTTGTTTGTTACCCAACTTCAAATCCTCCAACATATCTAATCTTATCAGCATTTTATATACATTTTTCCTTAAGCTTTTGATATTCTCTTTTGAATTAGATCCCGAGAGTTTTCCACCCTTCATTTTCTTTAAAGCCTCTCTAACTTCAGTTTTACTAATACGCCGATAAAAACATAAATCTTTATTTTCATCTAGGGTGCTAAGGTCACTATATGTATATATATATATGTATGTGTATATGTATATATATGTATGTGTATATGTATATATATGTATGTGTATATGTATATATATGTATGTGTATATGTATATATATGTATGTGTATATGTATATATATGTATGTGTATATGTATATATATGTATGTGTATATGTATATATGTATATATAAAACTTCAAATTTGTTTTGCTTAGGCGACGAGGGAGAAGATGATGATATTGATAATGGCTCAGTAGGCAAGAGACGGCGCAACATGCGGACTGCAAATGCAAGGAAATCTACTGTAAACAGGTGTGCTGGTTGATTTCGCTTCATGCTTTAATTGCTCCATGATGTTCTAATTTTGTAGCTATGATAATCTTCACGACATTACATTTCAACTTGTGTTTATCTCATTACATGTAATAATTTCCCAAATTTTGCATTTCCTGCTGTGACAGGGTTTCCTCAGCTGTTTATCCTGTCGCTCAAAAGCTATGTTCTATTTTGGACTTTATTAAGGATCTTTTGTCAGCTGTGCGGCTATCAGATAGCTGTATTTTTCAGCTATTGAAAGCAAGCGTTTCTACTTTCTTGGTTGACAATATACAGCTCTTGCAGTTGAAATCTATCAATTTACTTTGTGGGGTAATAAGTTCTCTGGTTTCCGAGCTATTTTGCATGAGTATGATTTACCTTATTGACAATATCTTAATTTCCATGTATTAATCTTGTCTCCACTACGGAGCAGGTCTTTGCTTCATACCCAGAACAAAGAGATTTCTTGTTAGATGAGATACTGCACCTCTTTCCGAAATTGCAATTTTCAAAGCGTTCTCTCAGAGCTTACCATTTGCCAGATGAGGAGCAGAAGCAAATTCAGATGGTAACAGCATTGCTGATCCATTTGGCACAATTTGGTTTCAACCTTCCGGATGCTACAAAAACAGCATCAACTATGGATGCCATTTCAAATTCTTCAGTTGATGCAGCTTGCCCCTCTAAATGTCGTGATGTTGCACAAATGGTGTCAATTGCTTTGTGGACCAAGGTTGTTGAAAGGTGTACCAATACAAAGGCTCAGGATTTATCAGAATCGAAAACTATTTTGGAAAACCTTGTGTCAGACCTGTTGACAACTTTGAATTTACCTGAGTACCCTGCTTCTGCTTCAATATTGCAGGTGATAGTTTGTGATCTGGACATTATGTTTTCAACTGTGATATATATATTTAATGATGGAACATATGCAGGTTCTTTGTGTTGTGCTGCTCCAAAATGCTGGGCTTAAGTCTAAAGACATCTCCGCACGATGCATGGCAGTTGATGTTCTTGGAGCAATTGCAGCCAGACTAAAACGTGATTCTGCAGTTTGCAGAAGAGAGAAGCTGTGGATTTTGCAGGAGTTGGCTGAGGGGGAGGCCGAGGCATGTAATGAAGGAAAAGATTTGTGTTGCATTTGTTTTAGTGGAAAAGGCGTAAACATTGATTGTGAAGTTTGTCATAGATGGTTTCATGTGGATTGCTTAGGAGCTTCTGGACAAGAAAAGTTGGTCCGTGATTGGTCATGCCATGTTTGTCTTTGCAAAAAGCAGCTTAGTATCCTGCAATCATACTGCAAGCCCCAAAGTACGGAAAGTATTAAATCCATAAAAGGTACTGCAAAAAATGCTTCCAAAGAATCCGAATCGATTAAAACATCTGAGATCCTTCAACAAATTCTCTTGAACTATCTTGAGGAAACTGGTCAACAAGATGATGCAAATATGCTTACACGATGGTTGGTTCACTTCACGTTTTTTCTTGATGCTCTATAACATTTTGAAAGTATTAATCTGATAAAGATGTTTGCAGGTTCTATCTATCCTTGTGGCACAAGGACGACACTGTATCTCCAGAAAAGGTCATTTACCTTATTGCTAGGTTAAAATCAAAAACAATTTTGCGGGGATCATATGTTGCATTGACATTGTCAAGAGACTGGGCTAAAAAGATTTGCCTAGCATTGGGACAAAACCTTTCCTTTTCTAGAGGTTTTGATAAAATTCTCACGCATCTTCTGGTAAATAGTTCTACTTTTTTAAATGTATTTCTTTTTCATATTTGTAATTATATTATATATACATATATAGACACACTTGGAACATTTATATTTGTTGCTTGACATCTGTTGTATGTAATGCTTTTATGGAAATAATGAAAACACTACCTTCTTTGTTTCATTGAACAAATGATTCTCAGGCAAGTTTGAGGGAAGGATCTTCTATACTAAGAGCAAAAGCATTGCGTGCGGTGAGGCTGCGATCAAGATTTTTTGTTTTTGTTTTTGTTTTTCCTTTCTAGTTCGATCAAAATGCTTAGTAAATTCATCTTTCCCACTTCCCTCTTTCCCACTTCCCTCTTTGACAGGTTAGCTCGATAGTTGAAGCTGATCCAGAAGTTTTGTGTGATGAACGAGTCCAAAGTGCTGTAGAGGGAAGGTTTTGTGACTCAGCAATTTCTGTTCGTGAGGCTGCTCTTGAGCTTGTTGGTAGGTATATTGCATCTCATCCGGAGGTGGGCTTGAAGGTAGGTAGTAAACAATGAATTTATGTTTTTCTCATGGATTATTCTGTTTAGTAAGCTCATAATGTTGTTGGTTTCTTGATAGTACTTCGAAAAGGTTTCTGAACGTATAAAGGACACCGGGGTAAGTGTTCGCAAGCGGGCAATCAAAATTATCAGAGATCTCTGCACTTCAAATACCAGTTTTTTAGAAGCAACAAATGCTTTTATAGAGATGATCTCTCGTATCACTGATGAAGAATCCAGTGTGCAAGTGAGTTGCTTATCATCTTAACCCTGTTCTGCATAGTTTTAGGACTTGCTAAAGAAATTGCTGATTTTTGCATCTTTTTTTTAAAATTTTGCTAGATGCGGCTGAATTTTACTTACACTTTAAGACCTAATTATCTGCACTACTTAATTTGTTGCTTTTCACATGGAGCCATGAAAGTAAATATACTATGTACTATTCTATCAGCCCTGTACAATAATAATATTTTAATTAACATAATTTTCAAGTTAGTGAATTGATTATATCGGTATTGTCAAAGCAATAGGTCTTCTCAGAGTGACATAATTGCCCTGTGAATGAGGCTGTAGATGCCACTCTTGGCACTTTCTTGAAAATTTTGCATTGATTATCTCATCATATTTAGGGTCTAGTTGGGTAGCATTTTGTAAAGTTAGTTGTGAAGAACTTTTTTGAAAGTTGTGAGGGAAGTAACTTTTTTGAAAGTTATTTTGATTATTATAAATATATTCTTTTTTAAAGGATTAAACAACTATTTTCTTAACGCTATCACACATTAGCAACACTGATTGTAAAAAAGTAGCTTCCAATCACAGAACTTTCTAGAAAGCAATGAGAAACTAATAAGCATTAGCCAAACGAAATTGTGGTTATGATATGAAAAGCAAAGCAATGAGAAAGCTGTCCAAATAGGCCTATAATGAGCTAAGTTGCTTCTTGTGTATAGCCAAGTTGATGAGTAGGAAGTGCATGTTGCTTGATACTTCTTGCTCAAGGTTTGTTGTGGGAATGCCTATTGACCCACATGCTTGTGTATAGTCACCAATGAAAATTTTAATAATCTTCCGGATGTTTACAAATTAAAGGATAGCCATAGAATTGTCTCTCAATTGGAATAGCTATACAAATAGCTGAAACAGAAACACTGCATAAAAATATCTTCACGCACCCTTGATTAAAAACTACTAGAAAAGAAAACAGCATTGGAAAGCTTATTCGTAACTTCAAAAAGATGCATCTCTTTCTTTTTTTATAATCAATAAAATGACAGTAGCTATTAAACAATGATTCTTCATGTTTGCATATGATGCATCTGATTTTATTAGATGTCCCTTCTTAATTATTTAGTTAAGAAGATGGATGCGGTCAAATATATGTGTGTTGAAGCATGTGTACTTGGCAATTTTTATTCTAGAAATTTTAATCTAATCTATCTGTGTTTGATAATTAAATATTAAACGTAGAAGAGATGTAAAACATTGACTAATTTAACTATTATCCAATTATGGAACTAAAATATTATTTCGAGTATATGCCCAGAAGATGATCAAATTAGATTTTGTTCTAGAAAGCACATTGGTGAGATTGCATTTTACTAAGGGGATGAATACATCTACCCTTTATTTTATGTGCGGGAAAAAGTGGCTAGTGATATTAAGAATATTGCAAAAAATGTGCTTGAAGTATCAAAGTGAAAAACTCATAATAGTAAAAATAGTTCGCGGTGGAATCCAAATGTGCAACAAAAGATAAAAAATAAGAAGATTTGTTATAAAAATTGGTTTAAATGTAAAAACTTTGATAATTGGGAAAGATATAAAGAAGCACATATGGAATCTAACAAAGCAATATGCGATGTAAAGATCTTAGCTTTTAATGATTTATATAATAAATTAGATACTAAGGAGAGAGAGATGTATGTATAAGTTAGCCAAATAAAGAGATAGGAGTAGTAAGGATTTAGTTCAAGTGTATTAAGGATGAAGATCAAAAAGTACTTTTCTTAGAAAATGATATTAAAAAAAGGTGGATGAGATATTTTGCTAAACATTTTACTGAAGATTGTGAAAATATGATTGACTTTAGTAACCTTAGCACCCTAAATGAAAATACAAATTTTTGTTTTTATCTGCGTGTTAGTAAAACCGAAGTTATAGAGGCTTTAAAGAAAATGAAGGATGGAAAAGCTGTTGGACCTGATGATATTTTAATAAAGGTATGTAAATGCTTAGGAGATGAAGGAATTTCTTGGCTTACTAAACTTTTTAATACTTTTTTGAAGACTAAAAAGATGCCAGGGGGAATGAGTGTGTTGATTCCTAATTTTAAGAATAAGTTTCTCAAAATCAATTTGGATTTATGCTAGGTGGGTTTACTATGGAAGCCATACATTTATTAAGAGGTTTGATGGAGAAATATAGTGAGAATAAGGAGGATCTACATATGATATTTATTGATTTAGAGAAAGCATATGATAAAGTTCCAAGAGAAGTGCTATGGAGAGTTCTTGAAAAGAAAGGAGTTAATAATGCTTATATTCAAATCATTAAAGGTATGTATGCAGGAGCTATTACTTGTATTCAAACACAAGGTGGTTTGACCAAGTATTTTCTTATTTCGGTTGGATTACATCAAGGATCAGCCTTAAGCCCATATTTTTTTGTTTTAGTCATGGATGTTCTCACTAGACATTTGCAAGAGGATATACCTTGGTGTATGCTTTTTGTTGATTATATTCTTCTTGTTGATAAGACTAGAGAGGGAGTTAAAGGTAAACTTGCAATCCCTCTAGAAGGATTTTTTTTTCCTAAACCTTGTTTTGATAATTTCTTTAAATAGCATTTTTTATTTTTCTTTGATATATTCACCCTAAATTCTTTTGTCTTTAGTTTATATCATCAATATGATTAGATCTTGTATCTCGCCTTAATTATTTAATGAGTTTTATATGTAAGATGTAGATTTTACTTTGCTTATTATCATCTTGCTAACTTCTAATTTATTTATAAATATTGCTAGAATTGGTAGCATTTGGTCTTATTCATTCTCTTTAAGCATATTTAGATACCTACATATTCATTTAAACCTTCTCACTCTCCATTAGTCTTCTTATTGTATGACTATTTTTAGAATTACAACTTATATGAAAAACTCTTAATTCAACTATCTTTGTCATCCTAAATTTAGTCAAGTATTTTAATTTTACTCTCTTAACTAACTTCCTCAAAGGCTAATATTTTATCTCTTACAACATCTTATCCTAGGGCAATTATTTGTATTGATTTTTTTTTTTAAGTTGTTCTAAGATGCTCATGTATGGCTACTAATCTATGTTATATGGTCAAAGTTTATTTTTGAATTACTTCCTTTATAATTAAATTTCTTTTCCTATTTTTATGGAAAAAGAGTCGATTTGTGGTTTAGTAGCACCATTTTTGAATGCGTGTGCTTTCTTATTTCTTAAAGTGTTTGCTTATTGTTTGCAAGATCATATCAATCATCATTATCTTCCCAGCTATTTTATTACTGTTTTTTTAATCTTTATTCTCCATTTGTTCTTATAAAGCGATGTATAAGATGTTAAACATATTCCAATCAATTTTTATCCATATTACTTTTTGTTTACTTGTGTTTTCTCTCAATTTCTCCCTGTTTCTTGCTCTTTTCTCGCTGTGGACAGCAGTTTTACTATTGGTTTTTACTGATTTGGGATAGGATTACTTGTGACATAAGTACTCCCTATCATGTCCCCATCATATATATATATATATAATTCTCTAGACTTTTCAATCAAAATCCTGACATTCCATATAGCAAATCTAATCTTAGTTCATAACAAGTCAACCTTTGCTCACATTTAATTTCAATTGAGTTCAATGTTGGGCTTGCAGGTTTTTTTTGAAAGTTGCATTCATTTGTGCTTCTAAGAAGTTTGAGTAGGAATGATTTTTTTTAGTTATTTTACGTGCAGTTATATATTCAAATTTGCTAAGTTGACCTCAGCTTCTCCTAGAAATTTTAACTTGATAAACAGAAAATTGATATTTTGTTAACATTTGATACTTCACAACAAGGGGAAATGTAGAAAGGAGTTGGCAGGAAGAGCTCGGAGAGCTCAAGCTAAATCAAGTTGTGGCAGAAGCCACCCGAATCTCTGTGCTGGTAGTTGAACATAAAACTAGGAGGCTACAGTTTGTGCTTCGTTACATTAGCAAGTCTAGGCTACAGGTTAATGTGGTTATCTTGTTTTGATGCAGAAATCACACGGTGATGTGCACATTAGTTCACTTAAGTAGAGAATTTTCTTATGTTACGAACCTGGACACAAGGAAATAGATGGTCAGAGAACTGTATCTCTAATTGGGCAACAAGAAGTAAATGGAAAATATCTGTATCTGTACTATAGCCATACGAGATCGGATCAAATTTGTTATTCGAATCAAAGTTAACGAGTCCTGCTTGGCTCAAATCAAGATTAGATGGAACCATCTTGTACCCAAACTTGACTTAGCTTAAAATCAGATTGAATGATTTCAAGTGATCTTGAACCAAGGTTGGAATGATGTGAGATCAGATAATTAACAACCAAAAATAATAGTTGCTATTGCATGCCATCACTTCGGATGTGCAAAAATTTTCTTTTTCGACATAGCTTATGATTTTTGGTTTCCAGTAAGAGAGTAAAATGAACCAAGTTTATAAATGGTTCAGTATATTTTTTATTATTAATTATGAGGTCATTTATATATTGGTCGTCTCTACATAACTGCAGCTAGTCATTACAATCTTATAACCCGCATCTTTGATGATTGACAGGATCTAGTTTGCAAAACCTTCTATGAGTTATGGTTTGAAGAGCCTTCTGAATGCCAAACCCAATTTGTAGGTGATGGTAGCTCAGTTCCCATGGAAGTTGCAATGAAGACCGAGCAAATTGTTGATATGCTAAGGAAGATGGCTAATCATCACTTTCTTGTTACTATTATCAAGCGCAATTTAGTACTAGATTTCCTCCCCCAGTCAGCTAAATCTGCAGGGATAAATGCTGTTTCTTTAGCGTCCGTACGCAAGCGCTGTGAGCTGATATGTAAACGCTTATTGGAGAGAATTTTGCAGGTTTTCCGTTTACTAAGCCCTTACCTTTTATCTGTGAGATTTGTTTTTTTTTTTCCTGTTCCACACCATCTTATCACTTTTGCAGGTAGAGGAAGGAAATATAGATGAGGAGGAGGTCTGTGCACTTCCTTATGTGTTAGCACTGCAATCATTTTGTCTTGTGGATCCAATGCTTTGTGCACCAGCTACCAGTCCATCCCTGTTTGTTGTAACCCTTCAGCCATATCTCAAGAACCAGGTGCTACATTGTATCTGTTTTTCAGTTGTGTTTAATATAGAGTTCCCTTTTTATAAACTACTACGTTAGTACTTTAAAAGTTAGGCTGATTCTCCTTTTTGCAAGTTTTGAGTAAATCTTTAGGCATTGGATTCTTTATTCCTTTTACCCATTTTAATTTATTAAGGCTTGTCTGATTCATCTGCTGCAATCCATTTGCAATTCAATGCCACTTGGTCCTTTGAATTTCTGCCAGAATATAATCGGATTTGATGTATGATGAAAATTTTTTGTGGGTGGGATTAACTAAACCTTTTAAAGCGTGTTACAATCCTCAAACACTAAAAACTATTGTGTACATGCTAAATGTTGTTCTATCTTTTATGTTAAAAAGGTTGAATTAGATAGAAATACTTTGTGCATTTATTTTCTTACGTAACATGACTTTTAGTTACACTTTTTCTGCAGCTTCTGCTTGTTCTTTGGCAGCTTCATGACAACTGGCTTATTAAACCATTCAACTTATTTAGGTTAGATAGATTCATTTCCTTCTAAAGTAACCGTTACCATTCATGAGGAAGTTTTTAGACTTTTGATACTCAGTAGCTGATAACAATATAGATGGTCTAAACTTATTACCTATTAAATATTTAGTGGGGAATGTCTTGCAAGCTATGTTCATGCTTACAGATCTTCTGAATTCTTGTATCTTTGAACTATTTCTTAGTTCAGTTCAGTACTTTAACAAAGCAGATATGCTTCAACGATGGAAATGGGCATCGAAGCACTTAATAATTCTTTTGTTTACACTTCAACGAGCACTAAACTGGATTGGACTTACAAGGATCTTGATATCAATTGACCTTTAGATTTCTCTTTTCCAGAAAAAAATGATCTTGTTAGAGAAATGCTTAGTATGTTGTTATGCTTGCTTTAAAATATCTGAATTATCCAGAACGCTATCCTTATGGCTTTTCGTCATATGTATATAGCAGATTTTTTTACATTATTTGGCACTGATTAGTCAGGGATTTGTTTTGCGTAGGTGAACAATAAATCAGTTGCTCGTTTGCTTGAATGTATTATCTCGATTATTGATGCTGTCCTACCATTGCTTCGAAAGCCACCACAAAGTGTTATCGAGGAACTTGTACAAGACTTGAAACACATGATAATTCGGCACAATTATTTGACCGTTGTACATACATGCATCAAGTGAGCTCTTGCGCCTTGCATTTCTCTACTTTAGTTTTCTTCTTACAGTTCTATTATTTAGACATTGGGAACTTGATATGTTTTTATGATTGTGGTACGGTTTATTAGCTTGTATGATACGCCCTAAACTTCAAATGATTTAAATCTTTTGGTCGATTGACTTTTCATATGTTTATGTCTTAATTATTCTCATTTAGCATACCTTTGATGATTGTTCTTTTGCTTACTGATTGGCAATGACTGCTTTATTTGATCGTATGTCTAAATTTTTGCTAAACCATTTTTTCAAATTACCTTACCATTATTTTAAAAAACAGAAATATTATTGCAATTTGTAAAAGGAATAGTTATGGAAAAAGACTGGTGACAGAAAAATCGCAAAACTATTACTGATTCTCAATTCCAATAAAATGCCTTATACGCTCAACAGAAGATGGTCATCTCCATGAACACCTACGCTTGTCTGCACCATGTTGATGCTTAAAAAATGAACGGCAAACACTTATTGTGGTCACGTAGTGTATATTGGTATGAAAAGGTCACGTCATAAATTGCATTACAATCGTCACATCAATTTATTCGACGCTATCACTGTATTTATGTAGTTGTATACCACTCACTAGATAGGAGAAAAATAATAATTTAAGAACACACACAGTCATGAAGAATGTAAAGGTATTATGTGCAGGAAGGCTAGCAAATTGGTAGAGCCATTAAATACATGATAAATTTTTCACTGGCATTACTCGAAGCATAAGGAGATAATTGTTTTCTCTGAAATTGAAATAAATAATTAATTAGTATTTTAGGATCTCATATATCTAATTGAAATCCCTCAATTAGCATGTTTTTCCCGAGCTGACCAGAAAGATGGACTAGGAGCAAAATAATACATGTGAATCCCTCATTCATCGGCTTACCGCACTAACAAAATAATTTATGTCAGAACAATTATGTGGGAGATGAATATGTTTTTCAATCATATGAATGGTATTTTTCGCGATCAATTTAGAGAGTATCACCCTTTGATCTTATTTTGTTGATATGATCCAAAAGGGTATTGTGGGTTTGCATCCCATTGTCCCAGTTTGTTTTAAAATATTCAATGTGTATTTTTGTTGAGAGACATATATTCCTTTTTTTGAACTCATGATTTTCGTACCTATTAAATATTTTAGGGCTTTCAGATCTTTTATTTTTAATCAATTGGCTAAGATCTTTTTTAGTCTCTTAATTTTTCCTCATCATTGCCAGTTATGATAATATCATCAATGTAGACAGCAATCATGATAATGATTCTACCAGTGGGTTATTTGTTTAGTAAATGTGTGATTAGGTTGTCCCTGAGAGTATCCATTTTTGTTAATTTTAGGACTAGATCTCCCAAACCAGGTTCTTGTAGATTGTTTTAGGTTATTGATGGACCAGCGGTCAAGGATGTGGTCCCAGGAGTGGGAGGAAAGGGAAGAGAATTAAAGGAGGGGATTAAAAAGGGAGGAAAATTAAAGGAGGGTATTGCATCGAGCTACCCGGCTTGAAATAAATAAATTTATTTTGTTAATTGCGGTCAGCTCATCTGGCTAGTTCACGAGCCGCTCGAGAAGAGGCTCGATAAGCTCGAAATTAAATGAGCCAAACTTGAACACGAACCGAGCTCGAACATGGAAGTTTAAACGAGCTCGAACTTGAACAAATGTTCAAGAAGCTCTACGAGCTTCGAGCTTGAGCTTGAGCTCGATTCTGACAGACGAGCCCGAACTCGAACAGGCCAAAGCTCGGCTCAGCTCGGTTCGTTTGCAGCCTTATCAATCCTCAAGAACTCTCAAGCTCTCCCAAAACACACAAGTGCAGAAATTTTCATCTAATCATTCATTCGTCTCAAAATATAAAGAGGGCTTTAAATAGCCACTTACAATGAGGAAAAAATAAAAGACCATCATGCCCTTAGGGCTTACGCATACCTAGGCCCTCAAGTGAGAGTATAAATGAGAAAAAAACAATAATAACTCATAATACAAAAATATAAACTAACACAATGATAATTAAAAATAGAGTGGTGCAATCATGTCCATAGATCGACGGCCACGCCTCTGGTAGACCCTCCATGGTCGGATGTCCTCATCACATCATCTCTCCATTCAAATATTTTTAGTGCCTCCTGAATGTTGTTGGCGATATTCATACTCGAAAGATTGGTTGTAAAATCATGAACCGATGAGATGAGTTATTATTGTAAGAGATCTATTTATTAATCATATACTTTATACATAACTTTCCTATGAGTAATTAGGATATCCAGGTTAGAATTGGTGTTTTCTTAAGAAGGATGATCGAGCTTTAAACAAATTGGTTTTGTTGCGGATAAATAGTTGGTTTACTAATACTTATTTAATTTCTCCAACGTTTAGTATAAATCATGCCTTTATATTTGATTTGTTTTATGTGACCTTGAGAATTTTTAGTTTAAGAGTCATTGCCACTCTTTTAAGTTTATCTTCTATATAACATAGTAAATAGATTGTGCTTTTTAATTTGCTGTTAAAGCTAATTCTAATGCATGAACTGAAGAAAAAACCAAGCCAACTCACTTGCGTTGCCAAAAGTCTTAAACTTGCAGAATTGACTTCAGTTTTTATATTTAAAGTGGAAGAGTTTCAGCAGAAATGTAAATAAAAAAAATCTGAAAACGTTAAAAAAGTGCATCTTCTTTAATATTGCCTAAAGATTTGATGGCCTTGGATAAAAAATTAAAAGTTATTTCAGGTAGGGGTGGGACATTTAGTAACAATATTACGGGGTGCTAATAATGACATCAAAACAATTGAAATAGAAGTGACTTCTTTCAAGATGATGTGGTTCCATAAATTATGACAGAGAACACGCCCTTACAAATATCAAGGGGTGCTAATAATGCATCAACAAAATATAAATAGAAGTAACTTTTTGCAAGATAAATGTTATGCCATAAATCATTTGCTTTAGTGATTTATAATTGTTTAAACAATGAACATCTCTTTGAATACAATTCATCTCCTTCAGCATAACTTACGTATTCTCAACTGCTTATAATTAGAATTTTCTTGTCTGGGATGCTAACTTTGGACTGCTGGAATATGGTTTCAGATTAAAAAGCTATCCCTAACATTTTTTTTTTTAAATGTTAGGTGCCTTTGTTCCCTTAGTAGAATGACTGATAAGGGTGCAGGTTTAGTGGAGCATCTGTTTCAGATTTTCTTCAGGCATCTGTGTAATCCCAATTTTGATAACAAGCAGGTAATGGTCAATGGATATTATGCTTATTATGAAGTTATTCTTATTTTCTCTTTAATTTAAAAGCAGTTTTTGTCTCACTTCAGTAGTTCAGTCTATTTGTTGCTATTCCAGTTGTGTTGTTGTCTTGGAGCACTTGTTATTTTTAGAAAGTATATAAAAATATTTTTTTTATTGCATTAGGTAGTATACGTTACTCTTATTTATTGTTTGGCCACTAGTTCATGTAAAGTATAATTGTGCATTTCCAATGTGGTCTTAGGTCATGCAAAAAAAAGTGTTGCATTTAGTTTATAGATGCTTTAAGCAACACTAAATATGCAGCATGGACATGATGGACCGGATGGACCAGCTGAGTCGGTCCAACCAATAAACCTGGCCCAACAAGGGGGGCCAATCTAGCTGATTGGAAGAACCCTATGGGCTCCACTAGTTTGGGGAGTTTTTTGTTTGGGGGGGTCGGGGGGGAGGGGTGCTCAAAGGGGATTAATTCTACGCGCAAATCGCGGGATGCGACTCACACGGCGCCGAATCGGCGCGATTTCGGCAAGGATTCGAGGATCCGCCGGCTGCAAGGTGTGTGTACGCAGGATTTTTTTTTCATTCTTCCCCTTTTTTTTGTTCTTTGTATATTGGTCAACAATGACTAATCTCAAAAAAAAAAAAAAGCTATGAGCATTTTTTGAAGACGACAATTAATAGAAATAAACTATTATAAAGTCTTACATTATAAAAATTATATATATGCATGAACCCAAAATTTTTGGGTAAGGTCATTTGATGATATGATAATGATGATTATGTAGATTTATGAAAAACTGTAAATTGAGCTAACGGCACCTACCACTAAACAAACAAAGTGAGTATCAAAATTCAAAAGTTAAAATGCGGCTGTCTGATTGATTGTGTAGTGAAATCTATTATTTCTTAGCTTCTTCAAATGCTTCGCTTTACCGGCATATCCTTGAAGGAATCATGCTTCTTGGCATTTGAAAGAAAGCTGTTCCTCCATATTTCTTGATGGATGAATCCTATCCATGCCCAAAACCAGAGTTTAAAAGCAAGATGTTCATGCAAATCATATGAAAGTCTTAGGCACAAGTGCGAAGTTTTGGTCAGTATTTATCAATAGGATGCCTCACTGCTCATCGATGTTTGGGGTGATCAAGAAAAGTGTGGCAGCACAATCAGTGAGGTGTTTCTCACACAGGAAAGCCTCAGTAGTTTAGAAATGAGTGGAAGTTGTAAATACAAAGCAACAAGCACACAAGGAAATAGATGTAGCAGAATTGAGCTATGTGGAAATAACCCCACCAGGGAAGACTGTGCATCTAAATCACAGAGAAGTCCCGGCAAGAAGATAGACCTAAGACAATGCTCCACTTCAGGAAACTAATTTTTTAATGCACAAAAAATACCCACCATCACATCCACTTTTACCCACAATGGCTAGGCCACCTGACACCAGAGCTAAGCTGTTTATTGTTTTAACTTCAGGCTATAGTTTCATTCCATTTGGTAGCTTATATGGCTAAATAGGATTGGTTCTTGCTTATGTTGTGTGTAGCCTAATAGATAACTACCTTTGTCTATAAATAGGTAGCAATGTTTGTAATAGGGGAGATTTTTAGAGATAATAATATTTGAGTTTTACTCTATTGTTTTGGGTTTCTGTATCCTGAAGGATTTCAGGTGGTGATCCCCTCCCAAGGAGTTCTTGGGTTATGCGTGGGCTGCGAATTCCTGCAACTCGCGTATTATATTCATCGCCGCGTCACCCCCCCCCTTTCGCCGGCGTCATTTGGTATCAAAGCCAACAGGCTCTTCTTGTTATGTATCCTGAGAATTCCTCAGGTGGTAAAGAGAAGAACCTGACAGAGAAGCTCTGAAGGCGATCCAGCAGTCGCCAAGCATCCAAGAAGCATGGTGGCTGCAGTCCTTCGTTCACAGCGCCGATAGTCACCTTCTCTTTGTTCTGGTGTGTTTCTTTGTTCTTGTGTGCGGACTTCAAGACAACAATTAGAAGACGGATTCCTGTTGTTGTCCAGTTGTTTGTTTGTTATCCAAGAAAAAAAAAGAAACCTCAAAGGAAACAAGAAGCAGATTATTGAATTGTGCCCTGTTTTGTGTGTTTACCTATTTTTTCCGTTTTTGCCTTTTTGGCTCTTTGTATGCTGAGACGTTCTCAGGTGGTGAAGCCCAGGCAAAGGAGGCAGAAGAATTTGCGGAGAAGCTCTGAAGGGTGTTCAAGCTGTCGCCAAGCATCCAAGGACGTTCCAGTCGTCGTCGTTTCTCCCATCCCGTCCTAATCTTCGGTGGTGAATCGTCTTCGGTGGCGATTCGTCTTAGGTGGTGAATCGTCTTCGGTGGCGAATCGTCTTAGGTGGTGAATCGGCCTCGGTGGCTGAATGGCCTTAGTGGCGAATCAGCCTCATTATCTTCGGTGACAAACGGCTTCAGTGGTGAAAAATATTGATGTCTTCTCCAAACTATCACCTCCAAACAAACAAGTTAAAGAACTGTAGAACTACATCTAGCTTTTGCCGGTTCATCCTCCATAACCATTAACGAACATCCTGTTTTCAAGAAGCTTCGCCTCTGAACAAGAAATCCATGTCCTCTCCTTCACTCTATGCTTGCCGAAAACAATTCTTGAAGATTGACTCAAAAACAACAGGTGTTCCATCCTAGGCGGGTTCCAAGACAACAATTCCAAAGGCTAAGGGATGTTCTTGGATAGTGGTGATACCGAATGTATCTGTTAAACTGTCTTTGATCTACATCTCAACCAGCCATAAAAATTCCTGTTTTCTTTCTTTCCCTAGCTTGTCCGCTAGTTTTTGTTCTACAGACAAGAATTTCTGCAAGTCAGAAATGATGCCGCCAAGAAGAGGATCATAGCCATACCACAACAAGGTTCAATTGGTGGTATTTTGAAATTCTTAGCAAGTTTACAGCAAGCACATTGTCAAGAAGTGTCGTGCAAAGATGTCGCCTCAGAGAAATTAACAAAGATCCATACAAGATTTGCTCATGGAAGATCTACAATGGGAGATACAACAGCGGCAACAAAGATTGACAAAGCTCGAACAAAGGAAAGACTTAGTCCACCTAGAATGGGACTTTGATGGCATTCATCCACGAGATGATCAGATCTCTTCTATCTACGAAGATGTGTTTGACAAACCATCTCGTCAGTCTTCCACCACATCTATGATCAAGTTTAGGTTTGAAGGATTTGAAGATCCGTTGCCGAAATCATCGTCTTTGCCTCTCTACGATGATCTCGTTTATGACATGTATGATGGCGACATGTTTGGCGGAATTCTTGACTTTGATGAACCCGCATATGCTGGCGATGAGAGCAAGAAGGATGCTCAACCGGAGTTATTCATGCATATCATTCATGATAAGGCAACAAATGCTCTCTCCCTCATTGATAATGGAATTTATATGAGCAAACTTGACCACAACAACCACCTTGGTACTGTCTTACATTCCGACTCAAAATCCTTTTAGACGATCGCTGTGGATGACAATATTTACATAGTTGATAAGTTTGATGTCAAGTCCAATTCAACTCTTGAAGAGTGCCATTTGCAGGTATTACTACGACTCTAGCTTATGTTGAAGTCTCTTCTAGACGGGGAGAATGACACCGGGTGGAAATATCCAGACCGGTTTAGCCAACCAAACCCGCCTCCTTGTGGCCAACCGAATATCTTCCTATGAGCCTGAATTTCCTCCTACCCTGGTAGTATGACGCCGGAGCTGAGCTGTTGATTGCATTAACTTCAGCCTAGTTTCATTCCATTTGGTAGCTTATGTGGCTAAATAGGATTAATGCTTGCTTATGTTGTGTGTAGCCTAATAGATAGCTGCCTTTGTCTATAAATAGGTAGCAATGTTTGTAAAAGGGGAGATTTTTAGAGTGAATAATATTTGAGTTTTACTCTATTGTTTTGGGTTTTTGTATCCTGAAGGATTTCAGGATTCTTGGGTTATGCGTGGGCTAGGAGTTTCTGCAGCCGCGTATTGTATTTACATAGTTAATAAGTTTGATGTCAAGTTCAATTCAACTCTTGAAGAGTGCCATTTGCAGGTATTACTACGACTCCAGCTTATGTTGAAGTCTCTTCTAGATGGGGAGAATGACACCGGGTGGAAATATCCAGACCGGTTTAGCCAACCAAACCCGCCTCCTTCTTGTGGCCAACCGAACATCTTCCTATGAGCCTGAATTTCGCCCTACCCTGGTAGTATGACGCTGGAGCTAAGCTGTTGATTGTATTAACTTCAGCCTAGTTTCATTCCATTTGGTAGCTTATATGGATAAATAGGATTAATGCTTGCTTATGTTGTGTGTAGCCTAATAGATAGCTACCTTTGTATATAAATAGGTAGCAATGTTTGTAATAGGGGAGATTTTTAGAGATGAATAATATTTGAGTTTTACTCTATTGTTTTGGGTTTTTGTACCTGAAGGATTTCAGGTTTCTTGGGTTTTGTGTGGGCTAGGAATTTCTGCAGCTCGCGTATTATATTTACATAGTTAATAAGTTTGATGTCAAGTCCAATTCAACTCTTCGCCAGCGTCACCACCAAAAATTTTATGGCCATTCAAAAACTGTTGGAGGGAGTTAAAGTATTTCTTAGAAGGATTAAGAAGAGAGTTGTAGGAAGCTGGAAGACTTGTAGGGTGTTCAAGATTGCAATATATGCGAAAAGAAAATTCTTGATCTACTCTGTTCAGAGATGCGCTATTTCTTAGCAGTATCCTTTGTCCCAACAATATCTCTGGCCTGTCTATCATATCTTGTCCTTTGTTTAATGGTTGAATGTGTGAGATGCCATATGGTTTGTTTAATGTGTGTCCTAAGCTTGGCATGTATTTAAATTGCATGCCATGAATCACTTCCCAAGGATCCAGGGACTTGTTTGGTCAATGAGCTGGGATAGGTTGCAGAACTCCTTCAAATATTCTTGTAGCATTACAAGCTCATATTAGATACTACACATTGATCTTTAGATTATTGTTGGGTCGAAGTCCCTTTTATTTGTTAGTCCTTGCCGCTATTGTGGTCGTTAGTTTTATATGCATGAGAAGCCATTCAATTTAAATAATAAGATAATCAGCATTTGACTGTTTAAACTACTGTTAAGTAGAGAATAATTTTTATGCGTTAAGCTTGATTAATGAAAACTCCATATCATCACTATCAACAATAATACTTTTTATATCCCGACTAGATGGGGACCAACTTATGTGTCCCTCTTCACCACTGTGCGTGTCAATTATTATTAATTTCTATGACCATATTGTCAACTAAGCACAAATTCCTATAAAATAGGAAAACTCCTCACACCTGAACACACACAACCCTCTCTTCTGGCCTCATTTTAGCTGTGATAATGAACATATTGGTTAAACTTGTTACTTATGTGTCAACCAAAAAAAATGGTGCTACTTATAGGATACTAGTATAATTGCACGTGCATTAAATGTGCATTAAATGCACATTAATAAAAGTTAAAATTTAAATAATATTATAAAATTTTAAATATTGTTTAATTAATTCAAAATTTTTTATAAATATCTCAAAATTATTTTGAGTTTTTTTTTTTAAATATTATTTTTAAAAATAAATAAAAAAATTAAAATAGTTAAAAAATACATCAAATAAGCATTATTTTTGAAAAGCAAAAGTGATCCCAAATAGGCTCTTCGCAAATGCAACATAGTTAATAAGCAAATTCTTAGCACAACAATCAAGAGCATATATAGATGTTTTTGTGCACATCTATGACCATAAATAAAGTTACAAGCTACTTTAACCTTTGTAGAATCTATCAAAATAAATATATATTAAAAAGTTTTCAAGTAGACATTTTAAATAACAATAGTTTTAGAAGAAATAATTTTAAAACAATCATGTTGATGTTCCTGATTCTGTAGCAAGTTACTTTTGGTTAGCTTCTTTTCCTTATGTCGTCATTAATTCTTCTCAGATATGTATGGAATGTGGATGTGATGCATGCTAGTGCGATCTTAATCAATTTTTCTTTGACCTTTTCTTTTACTAAACAGTTATTGCTTTCCTTTCCTTCAATGTTCATTTCTCTCAAATATTTTCTTTGTTTTAAGCTTGCATTTATCGTAGGCTTCTCAATTACTCTTTTTGAACTTCTTCTAACACCTTTATTGTCCAACATTTTTTATCGATTAAGCTTCTGCTTTACTACACTTTTTTTAACATGTAACTACGTTTGGAACTTTAATAGCATATGAAAATTGGATATCAGCATTGGATATCAGCATTTATGAAAGTTAGAAATGAATAAACATATAATTTTGTGCTTATAATTTTTGTAAAGATTTTCATAAATTTCTCTGAAAGCTGCAGGGATTGGAGCGTTCTCTTTTTTGTATTGGAATTCTTCTTAGATATGGCAATGAATTCATGTTCAGTAGCAATGACCAGCAACCTCACATTGTCCAAGGTCTTAAACTTCTTAAAAAGTACCTTGTTTTAGAGGATTTTGGTTTGAAAGTCCGAGCTTTACAGGTGTGTCTTCTTTTCTGTGTTTTTCTGCTTTTCTTTCCAATCTTACTCTATTTTGCTCGGATTTGGTCATCATGTTTCTAGTTTTTCAGGCACTAGGGTATGCTTTAATTGCTGAACCTGAGTATATGCTGAAGGAAGATATTGGGAAAATTTTAGAGGGATCACTAGCATCTGATGTTGATCCTAGAATCAAGGTACCAAAAATGTTTATTTACTGGCCATGCTCCTGTATTTAAAAGATATATGAATTATTCCTATGCCCAGATGCAAGCAGTTCAAAACCTGTATGAATATCTTCTTGATGCTGAAAACCAACTGGGGAATGATGGCATCACCAAGTCTCGGATTCAAAGTCCGGAATACGCTAAGGTTAGTGTTCCTGTGGCTGCTGGTGCCGGTGACACGAACATTTGTGGAGGTATCATTCAGTTGTACTGGAGTCTCATCTTGGAAAGATGTTTGGATGTAATTGACCAAGTTCGTGAATCCGCTCTTAAGGTAAGAATTTAGCATGTCTTTTGCGTCCTCAGTTGAATTTGTTAATCCATCTCCTCTTGGAATTAATTTTGGCTTGCTTTATTCTTGATGCAGATTGTTGAAATTGTTCTTCGTCAAGGTCTGGTTCATCCTATGACAAGTGTTCCTTGTCTTATAGCCTTAGAGAGTGATCCACTAGAGGTGAACTCAAAGTTGGCTCATCAGTTGCTTATGAATATGAATGAGAAGTATGAAAATCTCTGATACAACCTTTTCCCCCACCCCCTTTATATTAGTATGGCATGAGTATATTGAGCAGTGCATGTGCATTTGCAGGTATCCTTCATTTTTTGAGTGCCGTTTAGGTGATGGCCTCCAGATGTCATTTAAGTTTATTCAATCTATTGCTAAGAACGTGGGATCAAATAATGCAAGAGGAAAATTTGATGCTGTTGTTATTGCTCACATCAGGCAGGGGATATCAAGAATATATCGGCTTATTCGAGGCAATCGTATTTCAAGAAACAAATTCATGCACTCAATTGTGAGAAAGTTTGAGTCTGGATATGGGTATATCCCATCTGTATCATTTCTCCTGTAAGTCAATATTATAGATCTTTTTCATGATTTACCTTAATAGACAATCGGATTCAAGATGACATTTTTATTTGCTTCAGATACTGTACAGAAATTCTTGCGACTCTCCCATTTACAACTCCGGATGAACCTCTTTATTTGATTTATGATATTAACCGTGTAATTCAACTAAGAGCTGGGGCAATTGAAGTGAACATGAAAATGTGGAGTTCCTTAGGGCAGCAGAGTGCTTCTATTGAAGTTCCTGATGCAAGGAATGAGCTGAACGAGGACTCTGAAGAGCACAATATCTCTAAGAAGCATCTGGCATCATCCATGGAAAACACTAGTGTTCCTACAGCAGAAACCCTGCAAAAGTTTCAGGTTATCCTCTCTCTATATAGTTTTTCAGTTAATCAACCATTTCCTCGGTTCCGTGCATTGTTTTGACTTCATTATGATTATTCTGTCTAGCATTACGATTTTTCTGTTATTTGCTTGCTTTTTTTCCAGGAGTTAAATTTCAATAATTTTGTAACTTTAGATATTCCCTTCTTGTCACTATCTTCTCCATTTAGATTTCAGCATTTGTTTTTCAATAATAACTTCTGTAGAGTGGGCTTGCCAAGAGGCAGGCCTAAAATGATTTCTAAATTATTTAGTGATATAGAAATTTCAGCAGACTAGTGTAGGCACGAGAATTTTTTTGATGTTTTTTTTCTTTTACAGGCTAAAAAAGATGTATTGTCCTTTAACTTTTGTTTATCTAAATTTAAAGAATGAAAAAAAAAAAATATTGTTTGTCCTGGTTTAAACAATTATTTGGTTTAAAAGTTGGGGGGGGTCAAAATTCAAGCCTTCCTGACCATAGGTTGTGTTGCACTATGCGCGATGAGTTTTTGGCAGAAGTATAGTTATTCTATCTGTTATCGTTCACAGCAAATTAGTTGTTCTGCTCTCCAGCATCTACTTTAATAGATGTTGGCAAGCCCAACCAAGTTCATTATGGGATCACTTTATATCCTTGTACTGACCTCCAAGTTTTCACGTATAAATATTTTTCTTAGAAGATGTATTCTGTTAAAGCGCTCATTCTGCAGCTTGTAAATCTTACATCTATGTTAGAAATATATTTATATTTTAAATAAAGAGTCTCAATTTTAATTGACCCACTTGCTTATTGTGAGCTTGCAATTTATAGGTTGATTGGCAAGATTCAACAGCCCTGCAGTTACTTTTAAAGCTAAAAAGACACTTAAAAATTATGTATGGACTGAATGATGCCAGGTGTCAGGTAATCCTGCCTTAATTTTTTTTTCTTTTTTTTCTTTTACTATTAAAGTTCTATGGAAACACATGTTTAGGTTATAAATTTTTTTTTTGACTTGAGTTATGTTTGAATCAAAAAATCAGGCTTTCTCTTTGAAGGAGCATCCAAAGGCTGGTGAGTCTCTTGCCAGGCAAAACATTGCTTTCAGTGCCAGTGATGTTTCTACTAGTTTGCCCAGCAACTATGACGACATGGTTCAGAAGTACCAGGTAGTGTATTGCACTGTAGTAGCCTTTCGAGCTTTCATGCTTGTTGTTTAAATTTTAAATCAGTTGACGAAAGCAATTTTTTTACATTTTGGTTGGGCATTAAATGCAATTCACTAAAAATAGCTGCTTATGAACCTAGGCAAGATCCAACATAGAAAAACCATCTGTTCAGCACACCTTTAGTAATGTCTGGTATAAGTTTATTACGCTAGTGTATTTTGTGCAAAGAAATCAGTTGGAGCTAGAGGTGATGAGATGCATAAGAGTACATTGGTGTAGTATATTGACCAAGAAAAAGTTGGCTGCTGTAATTTGGTATAGATTAGATTGAACCATGAGCTAAATCCTGTACTCTAATCCCCCCAAGAATAGACTGTGCTAGATTCTGGTTCAAACCATTCATGCAAATGGATATGCCAGATTGTTTACCTCTTTTTTAATCTATGAAATTGAGCACTTGAGGAAATAGTAGTCTCATGGTTCTAGAAGGCATTTGTCTGTTGACCTGTAATACAAAAAAACCAAAAAATATCGTATTTGTCTGACGCCAAAATCATCTTCTCTGCACGTCATTTACCAAAAAAAAAATTCCGTATATCACGATTTCCGCATGAGTTAAGACGTCTGGCTACGAGGCTCGCACGTCTACGTCGCATCTCCCACGACGCTCTCTACTACTGATTGATGCCCTACCTCGTCGTTCAAAGGCCGAAGAGACGAAGCTTTTGATTCTTCCGCTCGCGCTCTTCTTCCTCATGCGAAACACTCTGCCTCCTGCGACCGAACTCTACTTGCTCGTTGAAGCCCCTACCCGAGCTCCACTCCAACCTTCAACCTTCGTCTGCCCTTCTCAAAGCCGACCGAATACTCATGCCAAGCTTGCCTAGCTGATCGTAAATCAAGCCATAGCTGCCCTTCCCTGTTTCCCTTTTTACCGAACTAGACGCCTCCTTCAAAGACATTCCTTCCTGTCGGATACGAAGTCACGCCTCTTCACACTTCTCTGTTCAATCGGATATAACAACGACGGTTGGAGCTTCTTGTTGCAAAGGTAGCCACTTTTATTCCTTTTGTTTGCCTCTTCAGCCAAATCCCATAAATCTTTAAGGAAAAAATAGGGAAACGGGGGCTTTAACTTGGTGTGAGATTTGATAGCTCCCTAAATCCTCTATTTAATGAGATTTAGCGTAAACCCTGCTCAAATTTTGTATTAATCTTGCATCTAGACAGCTGCTTGACAGGATTTAGAATAAATCCTATTCAAATTCGAAATAAATCCTGCTTAATTTCTGCATCCAAACAACAACAACAACAACAACATCAAGCCTTTATCCCACTACGTGGGGTCGGCTACATGAATCCTTTTTCTCCATTGTGTCCTATTAAAAGTCAAATTCTCGTTTAAATCTAATAAAGAAAGGTCATTCCTAATATTTTCTAACCAAGTCTTTTTAGGTCTACCCCTACCTTTCTTAACATAAGTCAAATCTAATACCTCTACTCTCCTAACCGGGTCATCGCAAGGCCGCCGTTTTATGTGACCAAACCATCTAAGGCGACTTTCTCTAATCTTATCTTCTACTGGAGCTACTCCAACCTTTTCACGTATATGCATCCAAACAACATATGTATAAATTAATTATAATTAATTATTATTAATCATAAACTAATTATAAGTAATTAAATTTAATTATTTTTCATTATAATTAATGATTAATCAATCATAAATTAATTATAATTAATTAAATTTAATTAAGATTAGTTATTTTTTAATTATAATTAATCATAGATTATCTATAATTAATTATTTTTTATTATAATAAATTTTTTATTAATCATAATTAGTTATAATAAATGAAAGTTAATTATAATTAATAAAAAAATGATAAGAGAAAAAAGAGAAAGAAAGGAAATATTTATGTCGTCTCGATCTACGTGTAAACATTGTTGACACAATCGTCATCACCCTAATACAGCCAACGATGTCGCCGTCGACCCCTACGTAGGTATAAAATTTCAAACCCTATCCTCGATGCTTGCAGCACGATGAGCAATCACCCATGCGCGCTTTTTTTAATACGGTGGGAGGAAATTTGTCACATTGCTTACGATGAGGCAAGTAATCCTTATACACGCTTTTTTTAGTACGGCGGCACAATATTTAAGTATTAGTATGCGCCTCAGTGCTAGCGAAGAAACAATTGTGCATTTTCAAATAGGTACACCTGAAGACACATGCACGCTTTTCTTGGTGTGGTGGGATTGAAGACTACGGCCTTGGTGTCATCAGACAGCGACTGTGCACATCTTTCTTAACACGGTGGGAAGGCTATGACTCCCCAAATTGCCCCCAAATGGGGGATATGTCGGGATGTTACCAAAATTCAGACTGTAATGCACAAAACTTGAACAACAAGGAGATCTAACTTGAGCAACAACATAGTGGACCAAAACTTGAATAAATGCGCAGTAGACTTGTATGAATGACAGGGAACCAAATTCAAACTGAATAAGCCAGGGATTTGAATTGAATAACAAGAAACTAGACCCTAAACTTTAAAATGCACAATAATAATCAAAATATAAATGAAAAATAATAATTTTGATTATTCAAAATAAACATCAATTCGCAAGAAGGGTACTCGCAATGAACAAGACTTCGATGCACACGCGTAATAAATAATAATCAATTTACAGCAATTACACGAGAAAATCAATCACCAACACCAGCAAATACATGGCACGCAACGAATGATGCTGATGAATGTAATGGACCCCTACAACAATCCCCACGTTGTGGAATACACCGTACTTGCAAGCGACAACAGCCGACTGTAGAATGCACCGGTGTCTCGTACTTGCATCAATGATGGCCTTAATGCAAGCAACAATTTTCTTGTAGATTGAAAGGATGACACTTACAAGTAATAGTTTAAGACATGTCATGCATACAATAGTTCACATAAAGGCAACATACCCTAGATGCAGCAATACCTTGTAGCCAACAATTAGCAGCTTGCACACAACTTGCCACCACAGACTAGCACACTATGCCACTTATGAATGATGACGGTGGACTTAACGCAAGTGTAATAACTTCCCCACAAGCACATTCAACCACACAAACGTCAAATGATTGATCATGCAATGAATAATCGAGCAAGTGCATTTGAAGAAGTTGCAAGCAGCTGCAAGCAACTATCTAGCAAGTACACCAGTATCTTGCAAGTAGGGATGGTTAATTTGCAACAAATGCAAAACACCCGGAAGAGATTGTAGGAAGCCCATCAGGTTACAAGGACCTACCTATGAACAACATCAAGCAACTGCAGCAGATATCAGGTTACCCCTAAAGTTGACAATAATGAGTAGATGAACAAGTGTGATTGATATGGTTTATTTGTGGATAACAACAGTTGGTATATCGCGAGTACAGTGGAGCCTCTTTGGACACAAATACATACAATACTTACAAACAATCATAGGAAGCCTGTCAAGCTATAGTAACCCACCTATGGGTGATGATAAACAGCATGCTATAGGTGCAAACACCTAAGGGATATTGTAGGAGATCCGTTGCACCTGATACATGCTGCCAATCAATAAGTGCAGTGAAATCGGCTATAAATGCATGTCACTGGTGGTCGACAGTGGCATACAGACAAGCACATTGGATAGGCACCTATAAGCAACGATGATTGAGATCCTGCAAGTACAATAGGTCTCACATTAAAATAGAAGTACATTCACCTTGCCGGAGCTGAAAACTTTGCTGATCAAGTATAATTAAAGTCCTTTAATTGATATTTTCAAAGACTCTGACGATGATAATTTGGAATAAAGGCAACTTGACATACAGAGGAAACCCATTGATACAACATCAAAGGAAGACCCTGACTATGGAAGGAAGTATGTAAAATTGAATGATTCTGTAGAGTTAAAGAATGATCAGTTGAAAAGTTATTTCATCTTATCATCTTTACATAGATATCGAAGGCTTCCGACAACTGGAAGTGTCTGCAAAGCGATGTAAGAAACCCGTTGATCTGTTGCCAGCGGAATGCCCCAGTTACGACATCAACCATGCGAAACTAAATGATTTTATTAATGATTCTGTAGAATCAATGAATGAGCAGTTTAAGAAGAAAAGATGTCTCATCCCATTATCTCTTCAAAAATGTTGTAGCTCCCGAAAATATGCTGTGTCGTTCAAGTAAAGACCCGGAGATCAAACCTCGCAACTTAGTGTCCCACATTTGCATCATAAACACATAGAATGGGCCCCTCAAGTACACTATTCTGGAGCCGTAGGAGAAGCTTCTATGTACCATGTGCATATCAGATACTAGGATGTCATTGTGACATCAAAGATGACTTTTCACTCCGTCATGTTCATACTTTGAGGAGAATACATTGTGGTGAATTAAAGACAATGAGAGCCAACGGTGTATTAGCCGAGCCTTCGATCTCATCATCTTATGATACCTCATCTATCATAAGATGACCTCATGTCGTTTAGATGTTTCTATCCAATCTAAACAAGGATCGGTTGATTCGTGGACCTGATCTCCCGAGGAATGAGAAAAGGGAGCTTACATTAGAACAATGAGGTGTCTCACGGCAATCAGATAACAATGCTACGATTCACCTGTTAGCAAAAGTAGGGAATCAGTAGTAAGGACCATGGGTCATTAAAGCGCAATGTCAAGCCACGGGATCTGCAACATTCTTTCAAGCGGATAGAAGACGTGTATGAGCTTCCAAATAGAACGTTACATCCAAACGACGGTTGCCTGCATGACCGATCAGCTATAAATATTGCAAAAATGCCCCCGTACAGACATTACAATATGTATACACACAAACACAAAGAAATGTATATGCATTCATACACTAGCATGGGACCCAACGAGCATAGTGCATGCACATATGTGACGTCAGAGGATATTGCGCGAGTCAATAAGTGAAGTTAAGTTTGAACATGATCCTTCTATATAGGT